GAGGGTAGAGAAGACCTTTATTTTAGTGCGAATTGACACAATTAGATTTGTAAGTGTTGGAACTAAGTAGGTTTTGGATTCAAGAGAGGACTAAGGATACTTGGTGTTGGAAAGCTAATCCAAGCAGCATGTTTTGTGTCAAATAAGCTTATTGTGTTATTATTAATAACTCATTATTTGCATAAATACCATTGAATATGTTTATTTGGTGTCGTTTGGTGTCCTCTAAGGTCTCTTGCTTTACTTGCAGGGTAATGTTAGACAGAATTCCTACTAAAGTAAATCTTGCCAAGAGACAAGTGCTTCATGATTCTCATGCTTCATGTGTATGGTGCAATCAAAGGGTGGAGACTTCTTCACATTTATTTTTTGAATGTCAGTTTTCCTATCATGTGTGGATGCTCTGTTTGGAGTGGTGTGGTTTCCAATCTGTGTTGTCAACTAACATTATCACTCATCTTGACTAGTTTTTGTGGATGCCTCTTTGTAATTAAAAAATGAGATATAGGTGGTTTGTGATTTGGTTGTCTACTCTATGGAGTATCTGGTTAGCTCGAAATGCAATAATTTTTTCAGGACATGTTCTATCTATATTAGATGTGTTTAAGCTAGTAAAACTCCGTTCATGTAAATGGTTAAAAGTGAAAGATCATAAGTTTTTTTATCACTTTTGCGCTTAGACTAAGCAACCTTCTGTCTGTTTAAATTTATCTTAATCTGATCTTTGCTAGTGATGTTAGTTCCTAATATCCTTTGCTCTTGTTTAGGAGGTTACTTTTGAATTTTAGTAGAAAACACACAAAAGGGAGGGTTAAATGTGTGTGAACGAAGGATGTGCAAGATTGGTTAAAAGAAACTTTGCGTCTGAAGATCTATTGTCTGCTTGAAAGTAGTTTCTTAAGTTAAACAAATATAATTTCGTCTCAATATTGTTTAGAAAAATAAGTAGTAGTAGACGATGGTTTTCAGTGTAATATATTAATATAAGTAAAACGACATTTGTGAATCAAATAACAATGCACAGAGTTTTATACTGGTTCACTCGTCCTGAGCTACGTCCAGTCTCCTTCAACTAAAGGATTCCTGTAACAGCCCGATTTTAATAGATTGTACGAGGGTCCAAAGCCCAATAGGGGTAATTTAGTAGCCTAGAATGGACCGTTCTCAAATTGGAACGGGTCGTTCCAAACTACTAAAATGAGAGTGATTTAGTAGCCCAAAACGGGCCGTTCCCAAACTGGAACGGGTCGTTCCATACTACTAAAATGGCCCACAAATTCTACATGGGAACGGGGCGTTTCGAAATTGGAGCGGGGCGTTCCAAACCACCAAAAATGGCTATAACCCTAATTAGGAATGAGCCGTTCCAAATATGGACGTTATGGGTTAAATGTAACCCTAGAACGGGCCATTCTGGTTTGAGAACAGGCCGTTCTGGATATGAATTTTCCACATGCCGTCAGGGTCCAGAACGGGCCGTTCCAGATTTAAAATGGGTCATTCCGGCGATGCTTGATGCCTATAAATAGAGAGCTCTGACACTCCCAAAAAGCACACCTTTCAGTTCTGACTTCTTTCAATTTTGACTCCTTTCTTCTACATTCTCTTCTTTTTCTTCTACACTCTCTAAAGATCGAGGGGCACTCAGAGGAGGAGACAAAGGAGATCTTTGTTTTAGTTTCAGCTACTGTTTATCCAGGTACAGGGGAAAATGAGATTATTTGTATGTAGAGTTACATGAGGAAATTGGGTAGAAGAAGAGTCTCTTAAGATTATGAGTAATTTTATAATTATTTCTGTTTGAGGAATTGATGATCCCATTAGATTTTGTATGTGTTGAGGATTAGAAATATATATTTAATTTGTAAGAATGATGATCTGGGAGAAAGAACGAAATTGTAGAAAAATGCTTGTGAGTTAGGTTTTGGAAAAATTGGGGGTTTTATTATTTTGAGTTAAGATCTACTGTTTTAATATTGAATTGATAACATGATGTGAGTATGTTGACATGAAATGAGATGTTGATGTGATATGATTGTGGTTCCTCACACTAATGACTAGGAATGGCACGACCCTTGGGTAAGTGATTCTACAAGGATGGCGTGACCTTGACATGGTGTGGGATGAGTGAGGCAATTAATACGTATCACTTATGTCAGATGTGGCGTAGCCTTGGCATAAGGGTAATTGCAAGATTTGTGTGGATTGATTGTGATTGTGGTTCCTCACACTAATGACTAGGGATGGCACGACCCTTGGGTAAGTGATGCTACAATGACGGCATGACCTTGACATGCTGTGGGATGAGTGAGGCAATTAACTCGTATCACTTATGTCAGATGTGGCGTGGCCTTGGCATAATGTTAATTGTAAGATTTGTGCGGATTTTGATAGATTGATGTAATTGTGAATTGAGATGTGAAGATGATGAATGATTGATAAATTATGATATATATAAATGCTTGTGAATATTTCATTAAGTAATGAGTAATGATGATATTATGTTGTGTTTTCCTTATGTGCTTTATATATAGATGTTTTCTTTTCTCATCGTACAATTGATGGATGTTTTAGGTGAGGAAGATCTGGCTTTGAGTGACATCTAGTATGTCAACAGTTGAATTATGGGTATGCTATGATATTATGACATTGGGGTAGAGAATTTTTAGGACATGAATTTTATTTGTATATGGAGTTGAACTTATTATTTTGAAAACATTTTGTGACCTCTTATATTTTATTTTTCAAGTTTCATTTTCAAAATATTTTGGATATTGAAGAATGTTTCTAAAGGTTTATATGTGAACCCTTTTACCGATGTAGAAAAATTTATTTCCTTAGTTTATTTACATTATTACAATATATGTGTTGGGGTAGTAAGGGTGTCATAGTTCCACTAATCACAACGGGTTACAAGTATTCTTAACCACTTCTGGTTCGTCAAATTCACTTGCTGACTGTAATATTTTTAAACCACTTATGGTTACTTGAGTATTCTCAACCACTCCTAGTTCGTCAACTTTACTTGTTGACGCTAGTATTCTTAAACCACTTCTGATTCTTCAAGTATTCTTTTACTTAGCCTCTTCAGGCTTTACAGACGATGGATATTTGAGTGTGTATGTGACTCTCACAAAGAGGATAGAATGGTTTCTACACTCACTAAGGTATTCAACCTTAGTTTTACAAGAATGTTTTTAAAGTGTGTATGTAACTCTCACAGAGAGGATGAGGTAGTTTCTACACTCACTAAGATAAACTATCTTAGCTTTACACGGATATTCAAATCTGAACAAGAAGAGATGTGTGATTGTTTTGACGCTTGCTTTTTCTTATTGCTTGTTACTTCTCTTCCTCTTTTTCTTTTCTTCTCAGGTCTTGATATTTATAGCCTTGTAATAAATCAGCCCGTTGTTTGAATTTGAATGTGTTTGTTGAGGCAGAGCTTTCTATTGGTGCAGATGATCGCTCGTTCATGACTACATAGATCTTTTTCATTTAATGCGTTTGATTTTGCATTAAATGCTTTGCTTGTTAAATCTGTGTTACGTGAAGTCCTTTGCATAATTTGTTCCCTTTTATTTTTGACTTCAATCATGACTTATGTATGTTTGTCCTTTTTCCGTCATTGTAGCTGCAAAGGTGTTGCCTTTTTTTGAAAAGTAGATGTACTTACCCTGACACACGTAGCTTTGACTTGTGAATTCGCGCTCTTCAACTTTTCTTCTTTCTTTTTATTTCTTTGATAACTCCGTGTGCTTTTCTTATGAATGGAGACGATCTATGATCTTTTTCGATGTGAGTAGTGGACTTCAAACACTTTTCAACATGCTTCATTTGCATCTGGAATTTTAAGTCTCTGTCTAAGAGTTTAGACTTTGACTTTTTCATTTCGTGTGGTCAGTCGCGAAGGTGAATGACTTTTATTCCGTCTGGAATATTTCTTCGTCTTGTGTTATACAACGACTGATGCTTGTTTTGTTGACCTTGTGTGGTTGACCACTGAGCTTCATCTGATGTTTATTTGGTGTTGAACCAACTTTGACTTGGTCTAGTTTTGCTCTTGTTTATGATGCGCTCTAGGTTGTCCTTGACATATATTCGTTTGATATTCGTTATCGTCTGGTGCACAATTCATGATCCTTCTATCATTTGACTTGATTTGTCTAACCCTTGTTTTGTTCGACCAAGCTTCATGCTCTGGTTTTGCCTGTTCTTACATATATCTGAAATGCTACTACACAAGTTAATAATAATAATATGTATTATATTTGTCATATTCAAAACCTTACTGAAAATTACTTCGTCTAACTTGACAACTTTTTTAATTGATGAGCTCTATTCCTTGATAAGGTTGTTTCCTTTAGTGGGAGGCATTTTCTTCTTATTGTGTTGGTTTATTTTACGGTTACATGGTGCTATTGTGCATGTTTTTGGGATTTAAATAACTCATTATAATGTAGTAGGAGTGCATTGATTGTACTTGGTTTTTGTTATATTAAATTGATAAAGTTGTTATTATTGAGTTGACTTTTTTAAAATTTTGGTAGTTATGTTTTTTATAATGGGTCATAGTATTTCTTGTATTTTATGTAATTGATTTTTTTTTGCCTATAAAAAAATCCAAAAATGGACATTCCATTAATATAATTAATACTAGTAACTCATTTTGTTGAAATCCACTAGCTAGTCGAGTTTAATAAGATCAATGATATATCTATTTTATTTTTTTGGGTAGTAATATTTTTTGGGCACAAATTAAATACACACTTCAAAAATAGTTATTAAAAAGAATGAAAAAAAAAACTCTCCAAAGTTCAAAATCAATTAATTTAATGGCATAGACAAAACACAAAACACAAAACCAAAAGTACTGTAGTTTGACACTTTATTTAAATATTTACTCAGATTTACCAAAACCTGGCAGAAGATGACGTGGCAACCTACACTCGAACAACCCCAACTAAATTCTGTCATTTTCCGTCTCAATTCAAAACAACACCACAGAGTGAAGAGAGAGAAAGCACTGTGGCGTAGAGAGAGAAAAAACAACACCAGAGTGAAAGAAAGAAAGAAAGAGAAAGAGAGAGTTTATTATTTTTATTTAAGAAAAAAACTTCGCTATGGTTTCAGACGAAGAAATATCCGAAGCGGTTTCGTGGTTGTTCCGCGAATCGAACCCTAGGAGCCGAAGCTTCACGACGCTGAAGGAGGTGGTGGAGGAGCTTCAGGCCAAGCTCGGCCACGACCTCACTCACAAGGTCGACTACATCGCCGCGCAGATCAACCTCCTCTTCGCCTCCCAGCCGCCGCCGCCGCACACTCCGCCGCTGCCGAAGGACCATTTTGCCCTTCCGGAAAACCCTAATTTCCGCCCTGCTCCTGTCAGTGCTGAGTTTCAGTCTCGGAGCTTCGCTTCCGAGGCTCCTCCCCCTGCTCCCGCTGCTGAAGGCAGCGTGGCTCCCAAGGAAAGGTTAGATGAAATTGAAGATGTTTTGTTGAAAATTTTGGAAAATTAGGGTTAGTGGAAGAGGATTGGAGTAGTTAGTGCTGCTTGAACTGTGAACAATGGACAGTGAGTTTTTGGGAGAGTGATGTTCTGGCTCCCTAAATTTTGTGAATTATATACATTCTTAAGAATCTCTCGATTCTCTTTAAGATTTAATTTCACACATCTCATATTATCTTTTTTTTTTTTAAATTTGTATATTTAGTTGTTTTAAGCGTCTGTTTCTTTTTATCTGTTTCTTTAAATAGAGTTTTAATATTTTTTTAAAATAAATTTTTATAAAGTTAAAAATAATATTATTTTACAATTTAAAATGATGATTGGAAATTTAAAATATAATTTATGTATTCGAAAAATATTTATACTTTGGACTTACAGTTTTGAATACTACTAAATTAATTGTTGGAAGCAGAGAATATTCTTTTGTGTTTGTTTTATTTTCCGCAATATACTTGGCGAAAGTGTCACTTGCACATGAAAATATGATTTCAGTGTTGTTTTTCACTGTTTAGTGGAAACAGTGAAAATAAAGAGGCATTTTTGCGATATGTCAAAATAAAAAATGAAAACAGTGATTTTTTTAGACCGAACTTGACTTTGTCCGAAGATTAAGCTCAAGAACTGATGCATATGATGTCAACAATGTAGTTGTTATAATTTGATATAACAAGGGTCAATGAGGTTGCTTGTGTTTGAATTCAAATTTGTTTGTATCGTATTTTTAAACCGAATATTAAACCAAATATTAGATCTGTGTCATGCTAAATTTACTTTTCTGTTGTTAATTACCATTAGGATTAAATTTGATGTTTGGTTATGGCAACAGGTAAGTAATGCTATTTTTCTTGTGCCATGTAGTGCTGAAACTAAGGTGAAGAGAAGAGGTGGCCCTGGAGGTCTCATCAAACTTTGTGGTGTTTCGCCTGAACTTCAGGTCATTGTTGGCCAGCCGGTATTGCCAAGGACACAGGTTTGTACCAATATTCTTGAAGCTTGTCATTTGCTTTATGTATTTTGTATATGATATATTTTCCAGCAAGATTTCTAAAATTTAGGATAACCGTGGTTTAGATTGTGAAGCAACTGTGGGCTTACATTAAGAAAAACAATCTCCAAGACTCCAGCAACAAAAGGAAAATAATTTGTAATGATGAGCTGCGCGTGGTGTTTGAGACGGATTGTACTGATATGTTTAAGATGAACAAGTTGCTAGCTAAGCACATTATCCCCCTTGAACCATCCAGTAGGTATCTTGATTATGGTATTTATATGAAGTTTTGGTTTAATGTGTTGTTTAAACTTTAAATTCTTCATGTTTGTGCACTTCTAGAACCGCGTGTTCCAAAGAAACAGAAGGTAGACGTGGAATCGGGAACAAAAAGTGCTACACCTACTCCCTCTGTGATAATATCTGATGCACTTGCTAACTTTTTTGGCATTACTGGAAGGGAGATGCTACAGTCTGAGGTTTTGAGACGTATCTGGGAGTACATAAAAGTCAATCAGCTAGAGGTAAGCAATGGAGAGCTAAAAGCCTAAAACTTGTACTAACTTGACAGTGGCATTGGTGCATTAAAGTTTAATATCATGATAATAATAGTAACTATTGATAATTGATAGTTTTGCTGACTAATGCTGATTTGTGAACTACTAAACTCTATAACAGTTCCATGCTTTTTCTTCTTGCAGCTCTACCCCACTTTAGCATCTTTGTCTTTTAATTTTATGGGGTTTTCTTTCCTTGTTTATTAATTTTTTGTTTTTTGCATTTTGTAATTCATTACTAGTATTTTTATACATCTTATGTTGCGATTATTTTCTGTTTACCTAGTATAATTGAATACAGTATCTAAACTTTAAGTTTTAGTCTTAGTACCAGACTCGTAGTACCGTGTTTTTTATAGCACAAGCACATAGGTGCTCAAGCTTCTATTCCAATGGACCATTGAAGGCTAACATGGTTATTGCAAGAAGAAGATAAAATATAGTTTGATTTTTTGATTAACAAATTCTGTACGATAAAATTTGTTGGGACATGACTTGTTGACTTACAGTTCTATGTATTCCCAGGATCCTGTGAATCCTATGGCAATTGTATGTGATGCAAAACTTCAGGAGATCTTTGGCTGTGAAAGCATTTCGGCATTGGGGATACCTGAAGTTTTGGGCCGTCATCATATTTTTAGGAGTTCATGATGCTGACAACATTTCTATGGTTAGTAGAATTTAAAAGCATAGCAATTTTGTTTTCCAAAACCATCCGTGCACTTCTTTTTTCTAACTTCTTTCAAGTTTCACCATACCTACTGATGGTATTTAACTGTTTAGTCAAATTGTATCATGTGATGTTTCAACATGTTATCTGCTGGTGTTGAATATCTGCTTCCATGATTTGTTTTTATTTAGGTGTAATATTATCTCATAGAAAGGATTTGGTTATTATCTCAGCATGATAATTCAGAAATTATAAACTAAAAGTAAACTGAAATTTAGTTTTATAGTCTTAGTTTTATTGGTTTCCTTTGTAATCACAAGAGTAGGAAAAAAGACTATTATTTTTTTCTCTCATTTTTTTCCATCATAAGAGCATTTAAATATACCATTAAAATGCTGTCGATTGCGAGCTAAAAATCCGCTATATGATATACATCTATTTGTGTATATATAATATATATACACAAATAATTAAGACATATACAAATAAAAATAAGTTGGACATACATAACATGATATTAATTCAAAAGTTAAATTGTTTAATACTTAATATAATATAATTAAAAAAAGAAAGATTAAAGAAAAGGAAAAAAGCAGCAAAAAATTACAAATATATAGAAAAAAAATTGAAATGAATAATTTTTTAATAGAAGAAAATTTTAGAAAAGAACTTGAAGATTTAGAAGACAAAAAAAAAAAAAGAAAAGGAAAAAGAGATTAAAAAAAAGATTGAAAAGGAAGAACAGAGTATAGATAAGGAAAAAAGAAAAAGCAATCTTATTTATCTCAAATTATTATACAAAGTTGATGGGAGAAAGAATGGAGAGTTTGAAGGAGAAGAAGTTACCTGACTCTTTATCTTCTGAAGAATGAAACTAAAAAAAAAAGAGATCGAGGGAAATCAAATTTTGTAAATGACTATTGGGCTTTTAAGTTAAGTCAGCCCAATAGTCCAGTTGCTTTAAAGAAGTCCAGCTTCTAATAACTCCCGTGCCAGTTTTATAAAACCTCACTCACTTTTAAAAGACACTTATGCTGCCTTTTATATGTAATTATGTATGCAATACTTTTGAAAACAATGAGTTATCCTAGTTAGGATCGGATTGTTTTGTTTTCCAGATTCATGTATTTCTTTTTTGCTTTTTCAGATGATATTTATGCATAGAACTTGATGAAATATCGTCTTTTGTCTGCAGTGACAGATTGCATGGTGTTAATTCCAGTATAGCTCAAGCTGATATTGACCACATGTTGATATGGTTATGTAATTTGACTGATCAGATTTGTGTTCTTAGTTCATGTTTATAAGTTATTAGCATAATGAAGATGTAATAGGGACAACTAAACTAATAGTTTGGGAGTGGCTATGTGTTTCTAGGTCCTAAGGTTGTGTTGTTTGTCTAAACTTGGCACTTAGGTTAGAATGACCTGTGGGTATTCTGACACCTGCAAAATGCTCTGACAATAGGAAAGAAAATGATGTACAAGGTATCTTCCTTCAAACATGACTCATGCCATTTATGTGTAGTTAATGAAATGCAGCTTTCCAGATGTACATGTATGATTTTGGAGAAAACTTAGATAACATTTGTGCTTATGGGTAACGTTCCCAATACTATTTTTTATATCTCAACTCAGAGAGAGAACTTCAAAAAGGAGAATGTGGTGCTTAAAAAGTAATACATGCAGAGAGAACTAGCAGAGAGAACTTTATCTAAGCGCTAGATTTCTATCTGTGGTACTATTTAACCAGAAAGGGCTTGAATTTGATTGCACTTGATTTTGAGTGTCTATTAGTTTGGACCTACTTGATAAAATTTAAAAATTAAATTTAGTTGGTTGAGTTTAATTTGTTTGGTTTAAATCAGACCAAATAAATCAGATATCATTTTCTTTAATTTGAGTATCAATTTCATGATATAAAACTTGATGATATGTCATTGAAACAATTAACTTGAATTTTTAATGACACGTCATTAAATATTAAATATGCTAAAAATTCTCGTTTCTCTACACTAGTTTCCGGAATATTTTTTGGATGTTGATACAAATTCTGGTCTTTGGGCAATGACTTGTTGCATTGCGGTGACACCACCAGCAAAGAAGATACCTTGGCAAAATTTTGGGCGTTTAATGTTCTCTGAATTCAAATTTAGCAATGTATTAAATACTTTTTAAAATTAAATTTTGAAACATCTAAAATCAATAAAAAATGTTTCATAAGTAATTTTTTTTAAAAAGTGTATTTTTAAAAACAATTATAAAAAATTAATAGAGGTGCAAAGAAAGTAAAAGTCAAGCAACAAATATAAAAAAATATTTTGGGTCAATATCCCAAATGCTCGTAAAAAAAAAAACAACACAAATAATAAAACAAAACAAAACAAAATCAGAAGAAATCCCTTTGAATTTTGTTTCAATAAACTAAATTAAAGTGTAATGCTATTTTATATTTTTGCAAATTAAGTAGATATATGTTAGCAATTAGCATGATAACATTCATAATTATTGATATATACTTGTTTTTTCAAAAGAAATATTTAATATATTGTATTTTTGGTCTTTTTATTTTTGTCAATTTACAATTTTAGTCTTTTCATTTTAAAATAGAAATATTTAGTTCATTTAATTTTTAAAATATAAAATTTTGGTCAATCTATTAAATTATTATTTCATAGTTAAGTAATATATCATTTACTAGAATGACATTTGGAGATAAAAATAATGTAAATAAGACTTATTAATAAAATAAATATTAATCAATCGTTAATATATATATATATATATATATATATATATAAATATAAATATTTTGTATGTTATTTTTAATTTTTATTTATATACATCACATCATTAAATATTATGTTGTTTAAGTAATGATAGATTATTGATCAACATAAAAAATTAACGATCAATGAGTATTAAATTGTACCTATTTAAAAATAAAGGATCAAAATTACGGATTGATAAAAAATAAAGACTAAAAATATAATTTAACTTAAATTATATATATATATATATTAAAATAATACAAGCAAATATTAGTTTAGTTTAGCTAGTATCTCTAGTTCAAGTCCTAAATATGTAATTACATTATCTATAATAATTTTAACTGATTTAAGAAAGAATGAATAGTGTGGTATATATCTATTGCATGTCTTTTTATATATATATATATTCTTTTAACTAAGGGATACTTCATGGAACTTGTGGTGTGTTGCAAAAAGACAGCTTAGGGGGACATGTCCTTTACGAGAGGTAGTTGCACTCTTTATCTATAAATTTGTTGGAAAGAGGTTGCTTAGCAGTAGCACATACTGAGCTAGCTAGCTCTCCAGTGGTTCAACTTCACGTAACTGCAATTTCTAGCCCCAATTGTTATGGGTTCACTTTCTTTGCACATAAAAATTAACTTTTTTGAGTTTAAAATATCTTAACAATTGCATAAGGATGAGTTTCACCAAATAAATAAATGAGTAGACATGTACTTAGCCCCATATTTAGGGAGAACAATTGGAGTTAAAGAAGGCTTACTTGTTACAAAAATTGTAGATATAAAGATGTTGTCAAATAGTTGGTTAAAATTGAGTTTTTTTTTTTTTAAACAAGAAGTGATTTTGATATTTTTACTCTTTAATTAAATACGCAAATTACTTACATTTTTAATTAAGAATCGAGGTTTGGTTTCTATCCTATTTATGAAGTCGTGATTAGAAATACATTTTATCGAATAGATTTTGTGAAAAAGAGTTATACTTTATCAATCAAATAAAAATTGAGATTTTTAAAAATCTTTTTGCAAACCAATTTTGTTAAACTTGTAAAAAAAAATATATTAAACAAATGAAATAAACCTTACAAACAATTCAATTACATATGATAACGTTAGAAACATTATCATCATTATAATTTTTCTTACTAATATATATATATATATATATATATATATATATTTATATTTGAAAGGATTTACTTATTCTAAAAATAAATTTTAATAGATTTACTTTATCTAATGACTTATATTTTACATTAAATTTTAACAATCTAACTATTAAATTAATAAATTAAATATATTATTTTTAAAAAATTTAAAAACTGTATTTTGATTAATTAAAATCAATGGATAATTATAAAATATTTTATATGTTAATTTGAATTTATATAACAAAATATTAAATATTTTTTTTTTTTAAATTTATAAATTTAATCTATGAACTTTTAATTCAACAATAAATAATTAAAATTTGATGTAAAAAGTAAGCTATTAAATAAAGTAAATAGGTTTAAAAATAATTTTTTGAGCTCTCCCTACTTGTATTTTTCCCATCAAATATTTAAAAATATTGGATAGAAGGGATAATTTGTGAAATGCGTCCAACATAACTTATGGGAAAATTTTTTTTTGTCAGCATTCAAATAAGATAAGAAAAAAGAATCCTGTTTTAGAAAATATTTTTTAAATGTATGTATATAAAAATGATAAAAAGTAAAAAGTAATTATGCATAATAGTACACACGATATCAATAATTTTAACGTTGAATTAATTAATTTGTGATAGAAAATGCTCAATTAATATGTGTCATCATATTTATATTAATATATTCATTATATTTTGGAGTTTATGAATGAAAAGAGAGATGATGAAAGAAAAAAATTAGAGAAAAAAAAATTATAAATAAAAAGAAGTATAGAAAAAAAGTTGGAGTGGAAATAAAAACAAGAAAATTTAGAAGTACAATATTAATAGAAATTGTTGTAGACAAGTTGATTCTCACATAGAAAACTAGCTACCCCTCCTAGATTTCCTACTCCAATTTTTGCCACTATGGCTTCACCTTCTTTGCACATTATAATTCTCCCAATGTTTGCAATGGGACACATCACCCCATTTATCTACCTCTCCAACAATCTAGCACAAATAGAACACAAAATCTCTTTCTTCATCCCAAAAGACACAACCAAACTTACAACACCTAAGTCACCACCCCAATCTCATCACCTTGTTCCAATCTTTGTTTCTCAGAATGATAATAATGGCCTTTCCCATTTTGTTGCTAGCATCACTTCACAATCCAAAGTGTAATGACCCATTCGTTAAGCCGTCACACTGGTGAAACACATACATACATACATACAATCAGCTACATTAAGATTGCATGCATCAGTTCCTAGATATTCATTCAACAATTATATATATATAATCAGTACATGAAAACTTAAAATTAAAACTTGTTCACAAGTATAAAACTTTTGTATAATCATAAGTTCCCTCCTAAGGTTATAATCACCCAGAATATGTATATACAATAATTACTAAACAACCCAAAAACTAAAAGCATAAACTGTAGGTATTGCTCAAACTCTATATACTAGTTGCGTTAAAACAACTACACCACAAAAAGTTCTCCACCAGAAATACATCTTCCACCTAATCCTGATCTGCTCCTATACAAAGTATGATTATCACAATCCACATCATGGAAAGTAAAGGGTAAGATGTAAAAAGAGAACCAACAACAAAATAACATAAAAAGCAAAAGCTAATTATATTAACATCATTCAATTAATGTATATAACCATATATATCAACATCCATACAATTTGAAATAAATTGCAAATCAATAACTTGCATATTATTAGATCGATATGCAAATCAATTACCTTGCATATTAACATCCCAATATGCAAATCATCACATCTATATATTCCCCCCCCCCCCCACACACACACCACACACCACACATATAAACTATACACACATAGACATATATATAAACTATATATAAACTATACACACACACGCACATATATATAAACTATATACATCTCTTTACAAAATGGTGTATACATCTCTATACATTATTGTGTATATATACTATGTATATCATCTATATATATAATTATGCATATCTCTTTATATATGGGTGTACACAAATTTAAAATATGTCATCATGTATTTCAGTGATATATTGGTTACTTCACCACAACAATATAACTCGATCTTGGCCCCATACTGTATAAATTAAACTAAGAATCTAGAAGAGTCATCTTACAAAACCTTCCACTTTAGGGATTACTTGTTTACCTGAAGGGTTTTTCATCCATGGTCTCTCAAAGCACCATATCCTTTATCCTCACACCGAGATCTATCAAATTAAAATATTTTCCTCCAGTTCTAAGTATCACATATCACAAAAATCATACCTCATGCATTCACATCATAACATCTCAACTTATAATAACAACCTATCACAATCAACATGCTTCACATACATGTTCACTACATGACATAGCATATTCATTCACTATAATACATACCAATACAATGTAAATCACACATATATCAAATGTATTACAACATCTCAATATAAACAACACAAAAGAATCAATTTCTGAAACAAGGGTTTCATCGAGAGAGCTCATCACAAGAAATTCAACAATTTTACAACAAGCAACCTCGACAAAAATCAACATATAAGGAGTCTTAATAATCCTATCAAGCTAAAATTTATCTCATATGAAATATAAGAAGACTTCAAGTTCTAAATCTAACA